ATATAGAAAATCGAACCAGAGTTCTGACGCAAAAAAACGAAGTTAGCGCCAGACGCTGACACTAGCGCAGGCGCCAGGCGCTAATAAGGATTTTGACGCGTTTTCTAAAATCAGATAGAAATTAACCGTACGGGAGGATAAAATCGTATTTTCCTCAAAAACATTCTTTTATTCTGATTAAAACTCTAAAAAGTCAACAAAAGTCAATTTATCAATGCTAATTGAATTAGGAATGAAAAGAACCTTCTAGAAGAATCTAGAAACCTAAAACCATTCCTAATTGCATTAGGAATGATAAATCCGTATCAGACCCTCCTCTAGATCATTGGGCCGCATATAAGGTTCAAATCGGGCCTAGTTTAGTAATTTGGCCATAACTTCCTCATTATTCATCGGAATTGAGCTTATAATATATCGTTGGAAAGCTCTTTTCAAGCCCTATCCAACTACACTATTAACAGACCCATATCATGGACCAACCAAACTGGATTGGTTGTTTTCTTAAAATAGATTTTCAAAAAAAGAAAGAAGAGAAAAGAAATTAAAACTATCCGCAACACTAGACTTTCCACACTTTTTCTTCATTCGATTATGATTCGACGTGAAAGGTAATCATCACCGGGTTTGGTTTTGGGGAGACACAAATGAGTGTCTACAATATGCACCGACCTTGTACAAATCATGGGCATACATTATCAACCCTACTGCCGAAGCATAAGGTATGATAGCCATACGTCTCATCTCATCTGGCATAACCGGACACTGAGATTTACTAAGCGTAATGCCATGGGACATGGGGAGAAATACTCTCTCGGAGTTTGTCATCTCAAACCTGTCAAAAACCTTATCAATATAAGTCTCTTGACTAAGTCCAATTATCATTCTATACCTGTCTCGATGGATTTTGATTCCCAAAATTTACTCGGCATCACCCAAGTCCTTTATAGAGAAACAACTCTTCAACCATCCCTTGAATGACTCAAGCATTGGTATGTCATTCCCCATGAGTAGTATGTCATCTACATACGAGCACTACAAGAAAACTCCCTATTTCTGATGGATTACTTCCGATGGCCATTTAAAATCGTCGAAAAATCGTAATTTTCGATGGTTTTAAAAGCCGTCGAAAATTTCCGATGGCCTCAAAAAGAATCGAAAACCGTATTTCCGACGGCTTAAGCCAAATGAAATTTCCGATGGTTTTATAAACCATCGAAAAGTATAAAATTTTCGTTGGTTTTAAAAGCCATAGGAAATTTCCAATGGTTTTAAAAGCCATAGGAAATTTCCGATGGCTTAAAACCATCGAAAAATACAAACTTTCCGACGGTTTTGAAAGCCATCGGAAATTTATGATTGATTTTATGAAATAAACCATCGGAAATAAATTTAATTAAAAAAAAATTGAGACCCTAATTGTATACGCCCCCCTTGGGCAGGATTTGGGCATGAATATTTACTTATTTGTGGGCAAGATTTGGGCATACTAGTAATCGGTAAGGAAAAAGGAGGATATTTACTTATTTGACTTTAATTTCTTGTATTTGTTGTACTTTAGTGTATCAATTAGTGTTTTTATTCCTAATTCCATGTGTTATTGTATCAAAATATTGGTAAAGTATGGTAATTTTTATTATGTATGCTAATTATGGAATATTAATTATTATTATTATTATTATTATTATTATTATTATTAATGTTGATGTTATTATTATTATTAGATCTTATCAATAACAAATAATGAATAATAATATGGTGGGGCCATATTTATAGTATAAAATATATCAAGAGGATAACCTTTGATGTGGGAAAAATAAATGGAAGAGGATTGAAGGGAGGAAAGAGATAGTGGAAAATGAGGTGGATGAAAGAGAGTGTGAGGTGTCAAAATAGGGTAAGGAGAGAGAATGAATGAGAGGATAAAACCATCCTTTCCAATATTCATGCTCTTACAGCAACCGTCCCATACTTTCTTTCTTTCTCATTTCCCCTCTTCTATTCTCTCTCCTCTCGATGTTCTCTTCTTCGTTCTCATTTCCCCTTCTTCTCCTCTCCTATTCTCTCTATTTTCTTCTTCTCATTTCCCCTCCTCTCTTCACATCCTCTTTCTCTACTCGCATCTTCTGTCATTCTTCAATTGTCGCACCGCCGTAGCTTTTTTTTGTAAGATTTTAATTGTAAGATTTTAAACAAATTTAAGGTTTTTAAGTCCAAATTCGACCATGAAAACTCAAGATCCAGAATTTTCATGGTCGAATTTGGCCTCATAAAACCAAATTCAAAGTGAAATTCGAAGGTATGACCTTATTAAGGAAATTTGGATGAATTTATGGTCGATTTAAAGGTATTTTTTTTATTTCTTTCTTCTAATGATGCTATGCTTCCTTTATTTTTGTAATGTTTTGAGTTGTTGGGTGTGAATTTGTGGTGGTTGTGGTGGTTACGCAAGGTCGGTAAACATGCGTTTAATTAGCGTGAGGATGGGCGGGGTGGGTTAGATTCAATATGGGTTAGATAGTGTGGTTGGATAGGGTTATTGTGGAAGAGGTGGTAGTAGAGGGTTTATGTGGCAGTGGAGAGGGAGAGGGTGGTGGTGTGAGTGGCTGGTTGTTGATTTTTTTTAAAAAAAATTTTATGTGTTTTTATGTTTTTTGTAAGCCTAATTATTAATTTTAATGTAAATTTTTATTGTTATGGTTAACGGTAAGTGGGTTTAGGCGGTTTTAGGTTGTGGGTTGCAAATTTTGGTTTGGATGATGGTGGTTAAAGGGGTGTTCTAGGGTGGAGGGGGACGGGGACGGGGAGGGGGAGGGGTATGGGCAGCTTTTTTTGTTATATATTTCTGTTGTAACTTCCGCTGGCATGGACGTCGGAAATTTCCGACAATTTATCTGACCATCGGAATATTCCGACGGTTTAGCAATCGGAAGTTTCCGATGGAATTAAGGGCATCGGAATTCAAAATATTTCCGATGGCCATCAAAACCATCGGAAAACTGTTTTTCGATGGCTTTTCCATCGGAAAAGTGGAAATTTCTGATGAAGGAATTTCCGACAACCATTTTCCGATGGAAAACCATCGGAAATCAGATTTACGACGGTGTTTGAGGATTTTCCGATGGATTTAAGCCATCGGAAATAGGCTTATTTCTTGTAGTGAAGACTAAGAACACCACACTGCTATAACTGAACTTCTTGTATACACAAGGTTCCTCTTCGCTTTTGAGAAAGCCAAACTGTTTGATCGCCTCATCAAAATGAAGATTCCAAATCCTTGATGCTTGCTTCAATCCATAAATGGATTTATGAAGTTTGCATACCTTCTAGAATTTTCTGGATCTTCAAAACCCTTAGGTTGTGTCATATACACTTCCTCTGTCAAGAACCCATTCAAGAAGGCGGTTTTGACATCCATCTGCCAGATTTCATAATTGTAAAATGCAGCAATCGCTAGAAGAATCCGAATGGACTTAAGCATATCTATTGGGGAAAAGGTTTCATCATAGTCAATACTATGAATCTGTCTATATCCTTTTGCAACCAGTCTTTCTTTGTGGATGTAGTCAATACTATGAATCTTGTAGACCCACTTTCATCCAATGGATTTACCCCATAAGGCAAGTCTATAAGGGTCCACACAGCATTTTCAGACATTGATTCCATTTTGGACTTCATGGCCTCAAGCCATTTATCTGAGTTGGGGCTCGCCAAAGCTTGCTTGTTGGTTGCGGGTTTTTCATTCTCCAATAAGAATATTTCAGAATCCTCAGTTTTCAGAACCTTAACAAACTGTTTGTTTTTTATTTTGACAAACCTACGTGGGGTAGGAGAAACAATAGAAATATTCTCTTCAACTCTTTGAAGATTTTCGCAAGAATTAGATTCAAGTGGAACGATAGGAGTCTCGCTAGTTGAATTAGCTTGCTCCGACACATGATTTGTCGTATTAGTCGACTCATGCGCCCTTGCTTCTAATGTGGTGTTATCCACATCCATTTGTTGCTCGTCTCGAATTTCTTCGAGAACCCCTTTACTCCCACTTGACTTTGTAGAAAGAAACTCTCTTTCTAGAAAGACACCATCGCGAGCAACAAACACTTTGTTATCTTCGTGATTGTAGAAGTAATACCCTTTCGTCTCTTTGGGATAACCCACAAAGAAACATTGTCTGATTTAGGCTCTAGTTTATCGCCTTGTAAACGTTTTACATAGGATTCACATCTCCAGATCTTGAGATAAGACAACTTTGGAGCTTTTCCAGTCCATAACTCATATAGAGTCATCTCAACAGCTTTGGACGAGCTTCTGTTCAGTATGTTTGCAACTTTTTCTAATGCATATCCCCAAGACGATATGTGTAAATCAGCAAAGCTCATCATGGATTGAACCATATCAAGTAAAGTTTGATTCCTTCATTTTGAAACACCATTTAACTGTGGCGTTTATGGAGGAGTTAACTGTGAAATTATTCCACAATTAATCAGATGTTCATCAAATTCTTGGGTCAAATATTCACCATCACGATTAGATCGCAATGCTTTAATTGTCTTCCCAAGTTGGTTTTGTACCTCATTATGGAATTCCTTACTTGAACTTTTCAAAGGATTCCGACTTATACTTCATTAAATAGATATATCTATACCTACTTAAATCATGAATAAAAGTAATGAATTATTTAAAACCACCTCTAGCTTTTGAACTCATTGGTCCACATACATCCGATGTTGAGGCCCGAAAGGTCATTATCTCTTTCACCCTTTCTAGTAAAAGGTGACCTGGTCATTTTACCTAACAAGCATGACTCACAGTTCTCAAATGATTCATAATCAAATGAATTTAGGAGCCCATCCTTTTGTAATTTCTGGATGCGCGATTGGTTTATATGACCTAACCTACAATGCCATAAATAGGTTTTGTTTGATTCAACTGTTTTACGCTTTTTCTAATCTATGTTGTAAACATGAGTTGTATAATCTAAGACATACAAACCATTAATCAATTTTGCGTTAGCATATAACATATTTTCTTTTGAAATAAAACAGCTCTTGTCTCTTATTTCAATAGAAAAACCTTCAGTATCTAAAACAGGAACTGAAATAATGTTCTTGGTAATAGTAGGGACATAATAACAGTTGTTAAGCACCAAAATAAGACCAGACGGAAGTATCAAATGATAGTTTCCAATAGCAAGTGCAGCAACTTTTGCTCCATTTCATACTTAAAGTGTGACTTCCCCTTTAGCTAACTTCCTACACTCTGTCAAGCCCTGCATGTTATTAACAATGTGAGCACCATAACTGGTATAGAATACCCAATTGTTAGAAGAGGTAAGATTGATATCAACAACAAAACCATTAGGTAAATCATTACCTTTCGTTTTCATTTGCGTGTAATGGGGACACCCTAGCGTGTGGCAAGACCACCTATCGCAATAGAAGCATTGGCTTCCCTCCTTCTTCAAGTACTCCTCTGTATGGTTGATCAAAAGGTTGACTAGTGTCACTGTCGAGCCTTCATCATCATGAATAAGCTTGACTAGATTAAATCCATCATGGAGTGAGAACAGAATAGTGTCATGAGCGAAGTCATCATCAAATGGTCATCCTAAGATATTCATCCGATTGAATGAATCAATCAGTTCCTTCACATGGTCTCTAACTGACTGACCAGGAATGAGTTTTTTAGCCATTATCTTACAATGAATATTGTAAGTCTCATACCTTACATTATCAGTCCAGGAGTAGTACATTGGAGGGATTGAGTTAACGATCTCTCTTACATTCTCATCGTTGATGCCTCCGCTTCCTAATGCCCAATGCTACCTCGACAGATGGCACGAAGACAATTGTGCAGATTGGTCAACTTATAGTCCTTGAACCTTCTTTTCCGACAAGTTGGAATAGATGCCAATATGAGTTCCTTGATTTTCTCTGCATCCGAAACATCTTTAGAATGCTTATCAGGAGTGAAACCCATTGTGAATCTGCTCTAAATGGGAACGTAAAATCGAGCCTCAAGTCTATGGCTCCTAAGAACATTTCTTAGCTCTTCTTCCCAATCCCTGAAGTTTCTGAGATTAAGCCTTGTTTTCAGTTTGGTTGGAAAATTAATGTTGTCGTTAAAGCTATTCATCTACAAAATCAAAATGAGTCAAAGTTCAATAATTATGTTTAATAAAATTTAAATCACCTTTAGCGTATTAATATAGGCAACTTTAAAACATTTTATTCAATATTAATTAATCCCAATTGAATTAAATGATTCCAAGACCCTTTATTTGTGTAATAATTGATCGGACTTTGGCCCTGCCATCAACCATTACAATTTCAAGGTGAGTAAACTCTTTACTGATTACAACTCTTATAACTCTTGGTTGAATAATTAATCATCACATGTTTAATTATTACCCTTTGCTTCTAGGTTCTAAACTCTTTAGGTAACATTTTTAAGCATAACCAATTAAAATTGTAAAACTTGATTTACCCCAACTCTCCCTAGATATAAAATGACACCCAGCTTTGGCATGACCTATCATAAATATCGAGGGCTTATTGGGTTTTTAATTGGAAAAGCAACCTCAATATTACCAGGACCTAGATTTATTATGTTGTGATTATTTAGTGAACTCTAGCGCATCATCAAAAACATCAATAATATCTAGCATGCATAACATACTAATGCATAAATAAAACATGACATAGTATGACCCCTTAATCCTAAAAAACTAATAAAGTAAAGTTCCCACTTGAACCTTCATGGATCTCATCCGTCTAGCTCCTTTGGGCCTTCACTCCATTGGCTTCTTGGATCAACTGCAACCTGTAATACTATTCTATTATATCTACTACTTAAATAAAATAAAATAAATTACAAAAATATTTAACGGTACGCAGACCGTATTTAGATTACAAAAATACGAAACAATGCGCATACCATATTTAGAGTCTATGGTAGAGCTGTTAATTCGGGTAAAAGGGTCAGGTTTAGGTTGGGTGAGAATGAGTCAGGTCAACTTGGGTTGGGTAAATTTGGTTTAATGTCGTTACCTATGCAGGTCGGGTTCGGGTTGGGTCATGCTTGAGTAGAGTCACTTAGGGTCATACATCTTATCGGGTTTGGGTCGAGTTTAGGTCTGGTTAATAACAGGTCGGGTTACATCCGGGTCGGGTGAATAATAGGCCGAGTTTTTGTACAGGTTAAAACGGGTTAGGGTGATTCTCGAGTTTGTGTCGGGTTCTGTTCAAGTTAATATTAGAATTTGGTCGGATCATTCTCGGGTTTGAGTTGGGTTCGGTTCAAGTCTATAATTTGTTGATTATACTCAGGTCGGGTTATTTCCAAGTCAGGTCATTCTTGGGTTCAAGTCGGGTTTGGTTCAATTTAATAATTTGTGGGTTATAATCAGGTCGGGTAATTTCTATATCGGGTCATTCTCAGGTTCAATTCAAGTTTGGTTAAAGTTAATAATTTGTGGGTTACAATCAGGTCTGGTCATTTCCAAGTTGGGTCATGTCCAGGTTCAAGTCGGGTTTGGTTCAAGTCAATAATTTGCGGGTTATGTCCAGGTTGGGTCATTTTCAAGTCGGGTCATGTTCGGGTTCGGGTCAATTACTATGTACGATTAAGTAATTATACTTGTTGAGTTCAACTCTATGAGTAACTTTTTGAATATAGGCTTTTAATCATATCAACTACCATTTATCTATATGTTCTAGGAATAACTAAACATTGATCCTATTCATCTTATAGACTACATATATACAATGTACATGCCTTTGTCAATCATAATTATAGGTTAAACTCTAACTAATGGTAAATAGATAATTATCATTTTTATCAAGCTAATTATTTCCTTTGACTATATAGCAATATATATGGCAACGTACTAGGGAATTATAGCCTATAATTTAGGAAGCTAATTATCTCCTTTGACCAAACAACAAATATATAATATATTTAACTCTTAAATTTGGGGATCATGCTTCTTTCTTTTGCTGGACCGACTTAGTCACCGCAAACAAAATGCTTTGATTAACAATAATAAGGTGGTCTAAATTAAATTTAAGGTGATTTGAAATCGGGTCAAGAACAACTTGGGTTGAATTTTGGTCGGGTCAATAACAAGTCGTGTTGATTTCGGGTCGAGTTAGTAACCGATCAGGTTGAATTTTGAGTCATGTTAGTATTAGGTTGGGTAAAATTCAGGTCATGTGAATAACAAGTCGGGTTGAATTTCGGACGGGTCAATAACAATTCGGGTTTATTTCGGGTTGGGTGTAACAGGTCGGGTTGAATTTCGAGTCATGTTAGTAACAGGTAGGGTTAAATTCGGGTCGGGTTGAATTCAGGTCGGGTTAGTAATAGGTCGGATTAACTTCGGGTTTTGACGGGTTTGGGTCAATATTGGTTCAGGTCGGGTTTAGTTCAAGTCAATAATTTACTTGTTACATTCGGGTTAGGTCATCTCCAGGTGGGTTCATGTTCGGGTTCGGGTCTTACATACTCGGGTCAACTCGGGTCTAGGGTTGGTTTCAAGTCGGGTCAGGTCGGGTTTGGGTCACCATTTTTTTGGGTTCAGATGGGTCGGGTAATAATCGGGTTCGGGTTGGTATTTCGGGTCAGGTCAGCTTTTGACAACTCTATCTAGGCCATAGTAGTCTATATATAGCAATAAATAACATCATATATTATAAACGCCATATAATACATCCCTTATCATGCTTTCTTAAACTACAACATCAAATGTTCACAATTAAGTAAACATGGCTCTAAATATCTCATATTTCAATTAAATTACTGCAATTAGATAATATCATATACAACCTCCGTTTCTTTTTAGTCCTTTTTAGGAAGTTTTTATTTAGTTGACACGTTTCCTTTTGGGGTAAATTTTTTACCTTGCATTTACAAGCTACCCCACTTTCTTTTTCATTATCTCCCACTCTCTCTCATCTCCTTAATATATGTGCCTAAATCAAACACGTCAACTAAATAGAAACGGAGGAAGTATTATTCATTACCAATCATAAAATATCATATATTCTATCTTATGTATGAGATAGAATCAAATCCTATTTCAATTTGGAAGATAAATCATATTTATTTCCATGATTATCCTAACTAATATAGGAGATTCTATCCTAATTGGCTAGACAATCACATAATTTTAAATCAATTATTATCCTAAAATAATTATGGGATAATCACATTATTTAACCAATTATTATCCATATAGAATCTTTTGCTCAATAATTATCCAAAGTTTACAAAATTAGCAACTTTAATTTTGATAAACATTTTTTAAAATCAAAACTTATCCTTTTTTATTTTAAAATCTGATTTTTATTAAATAAATTATTTATTTTTTAAAAATATTGCGCCAGCCACCGTGGTGTGGCCAGCCGAAGCCAGCCACCGTAGTGTGGCCAGCCGAAGCCAGCCACGGTGGCCGTACACCGGCTATTGTACGCTGCACAACAGCAGCAGCAGTGTCGCGCAACTGTTGCACAGTGCTGCTGTTGCTGCCCCTGATCTGTGACCTACAACCCCACCCCACCCCTCTTTCTGAACCACCTGCAGCGGCAGCCGCCATGGCTGCGCCACCCAGCCGCGGCTGCCGTACACAAAACCTCTTTTTTGTAAGGAAAACTTTTAAATTACCACCCAAAAATGTAACCATTTTCGAACTAACCACCCTTTTAATTTTTATTTTAAATTACCACCCCTTAAATTAAATAAATGCTCAGATTACCACCTATTTTAAAAATCCGGTGGATTTTCCATCTGTGGGCCCCACCTAGCGCTTATTGATTGATTTTTTTCCCCCGATTTTTCTCTTTAAAAACGCTCTACTAACTTCAATTCACATTTTTCTCATTGAAATTTGGTAGAATTTGGTGAAGGAAATTTGTATTAAAGTATAGAGAGCGTTTTTAAAGAGAAAAATCGGGGAAAAAAATCACTCAAAAGGGTCAAAATAAGTGTTAGGTGGAGCCTACAGACGAAAAATCCACCAGATTTTTTGAAATGGGTGGCAATCTGAGCATTTATTTAATTTAAGGGGTGGTAACTTAAAATAAAAAATTAAACGGGTGATTAGTTCGAAAATGGTTATATTTTTGGGTGGTAATTTAAAAATTAACCTTTTTTTAATTAAAAGTAAAACAATTCTTTTGTTAAAAAATAAATTAATTTTAATGTGGTCCAATTAATTTCAAAATTAAATCATATTCAATCTTGAAATTAGGGTTATTCTTGAAATTAATCCCCAATTCAATTTAACTCTTAAATTAAATAATTTGATCATGAAAAATTCATAATTTAACATGAAATCAAATAGATTAAAATCATAAATCACATAGGATTCGAATTAAATCAAAACCAAAACACAAAATCACAATTTTGGGGTTTAGGGTTCTCGAAAAAATCGAATTAGGGTATGAAGGGGTTCAAATTTTCGAACACATTAGGGCATAATTTCGGATCTTTTAGGCTAATTCTTGAGCAAATTAAACAACTTTTAATGATTCTATATGTTAAATCACATTTAAAATACTAATCGACCCATAATTAAATTATTCTCCCTCCTAATTGAATTAAAATTGTGAACTATCAAAGAATTAATATTCAATATATGTACATGCATAGTCTAACTAATACCAATGTAGGGATTTAGATACTCTAAGCGGAATTTCATGAATCATATTCATAAGCATCTAATAACCAAGATCAATTCATAACACATAAAGAATAAGTAATTATACCTTTGAAGCGTGATTCCACGTATGATCGAGCAAGAACAAGGGAGACAAAGAACCTCAAGTGTGATTCCTCTACTTGGTCCATGAGCACGGATTAAACCTCCACTAATGCTAGTTAGTTGCAATTAAACCCTTCCATTGACCTTCTAAGGAGAAGATAGAGCAACAAACCAACAACGAACCACCACACGAACCACCACAAGGGGGCGGCCGTACGGACAGGGGGAGGAGAGAGAGAGGGTCGTGAGTGAGAGAGAGATCGAGGATTATGGTTTTAGGGACTTGGTTGCTTGAATTACAATCAACTGATTTGTCAATTGTTATGTCAATCTAAGTCATGGATCTTATTTATAGATCACATCTCTAAATAAGAGTCCATGTCAAGCCCAAACTCCTATTCCTAATCAACCTACTCTAGCCCAACACCTTTATGGTTTGTCATAATCTTATGAGGCCCATTAATGGGCCTCTAACTTGTTTAACCCAATACTCTTGTTGTGTGACCTCATAGGATCCATTCTAAAGGGCTTTGGACTATTTGACTAGCCCAAAGATCATTTATCATAATCTATCAATAGATAATGACGACCCAAAAGAACGAACTTATTATCTCCATAATTAGTGATCCTTGATATATCTAGTAATGGCACTTATCGAAGACATAACTCCTTCATCAACACCATGGACAAAAACAAGATATTATCCAATGTATGACTTCGTCCTCATTGATGAATAATTGTTTAATTTAACTTAGAAAAGCTAGAGATATTATTTAGCAAGATCGGATAAAGGTGAACACAGAACAGGGCAATTAAGAACACAAATACCAAAGGCCAGGCTATATGTTTGTATCAGCAACAGATAGACCAAGGTTCAGACATGATGGAAGTTTTTACTTTGATGGGAGATTTGGCATATTCCTATTCACTTTTAAAGAGCCAGCCAATAGGAATTTGAAGTATAGAGAAAAAGGGACAATGGTCACCAAAGTTGTAGAATCAGTTACTAAAAACAACAAGAAGGATGCTCATTGACAAAATTGTTCCAGCAATCAAAGCTAAATGGCCAAATGATGGCACTTTAAAGAGAATTTACATACAACAAGATAATTGCAGAACACATATCAAACAAGATGATCCTGAGTGGCAACAAGTTTACCAACAAGGGGAATTCACATTCATATTAGTGCAGCAACCACCTAATAGTCCAGATTTAAACATATTGGACTTAGGTTTTTTCAATTCAATACAGTCACTTCAACATAAGAAGATGCCAAAAAATGTTGATGAGCTACTAGCAGCAATTAATGAAGCATATTATGAGTTAGATCCTCAAA